CCTTCCGCCCTCCCTTTTCCTTCCGCCCTCCCTTTTCCTTCCGCCCTCCCTTTTTCCTTCGCCCTCCCTTTTCCTTCCGCCCTCCCTTTTCCTTCCGCCCTCCCTTTTCCTTCCGCCCTCCCTTTTCCTTCCCCCTCCCTTTTCCTTCCGCCCTCCCTTTTCCTTCCGCCCTCCCTTTTCCTTCCGCCCTCCCTTTTCCTTCCCCCTCCCTTTTCCTTCCGCCCTCCCTTTTCCTTCCCCCCTCCCTTTTCCTTCCGCCCTCCCTTTTCCTTCCGCCCTCCCTTTTCCTTCCGCCCTCCCTTTTCCTTCCGCCCTCCCTTTTCCTTCCGCCCTCCCTTTTCCTTCCGCCCTCCCTTTTCCTTCCGCCCTCCCTTTTCCTTCCGCCCTCCCTTTTCCTTCCGCCCTCCCTTTTCCTTCCGCCCTCCCTTTTCCTTCCGCCCTCCCTTTTCCTTCCGCCCTCCCTTTTCCTTCCGCCCTCCCTTTTCCTTCCGCCCTCCCTTTTCCTTCCGCCCTCCCTTTTCCTTCCGCCCTCCCTTTTCCTTCCGCCCTCCCTTTTCCTTCCGCCCTCCCTTTTCCTTCCGCCCTCCCTTTTCCTTCCGCCCTCCTGCCCTCCCCCTTTCCACTCCGCCCTCCTACCCTCCCTCCACACAGCTACGACACCTCTCCCGTGTCCTACCTGTGGCCATCATTGTGGGCGCTGTTCGTGCTGGTGGTCTACTCGCTGCTGGCGCTGGGCGTGTGGGCCGTGTGCTGCCACCTCGTGCGCCTGGAGCGAGACTACCAGCGCATGCAGCGACTGAAAGACAGGATGAAGGCAGCCAAGCTGGTGGCGGAGCATGCGGCCAAGGCCAAGAGCAACTTCCTCGCTGTCATGAGCCACGAGCTGCGCACGCCGCTCAATGCAGTCATTGGTAAGTGTGTGGGAAGGGGGGAAAAGGGGGGGGGGAGGGGGAGGGGAACAGTTGACTCAAAGTGCACACGTCCCTGCATCCTCGCTCTCTGTTTTGAGACGTCTCAAAACTCTTTTTTGCATCCTCGCTTGCTGTCTCTCTGTCACCCATGGCACCAGGCATGATGAATCTGTTGGTGGACACGCCACTGGACGCCACTCAGCTGGACTACGCAGAAACAGCTCGCACCAGCGGGCGGGCGCTCGTGTCGCTCATCAACGATATTCTTGACCTCTCCAAAATCGAGGTATGCTGCTGCATTGGAAGGGTGGGTGGGAGGCACGACGAGTCATGGCCCTTGAAAGATTCGCTCCAGAAACTTGGTCAACGGCGCCACCCTCTGGAGGTGGCGTGGTCCACATTCCTCAGGAGAACGTTCTTCAATCTCTACATAGAGCATAGCATGACCTTGCGTGTGTGCGTGCGTGCGTGTGTTTTCCACGTACCCTCTCACCCCACCCCACCCCAACACCGCCAGGCAAACCGCATGGTGCTGGAGAGAGCTTATTTGGACATGTGCAAGGTGCCGGCCATGTTTGTGGCGCCATTCACGCACGTGTGCGTGCGTGTTTATCCATGTACACCCTTCCCAGGCCAACCGCATGGTGTTGAAAAAGGCCCCTTTGGACATCCGGAGGGACGTTGACGAGGTGCTGACCATATTTCCTGCCATGCATGCCTGCATGCATGCCTGCATGCATGCCTCCACACACACCACCCCCAGCGCACACAGGCAAACCACATGGTGCTGGAGAAGGCGCCTTTAGACATCCGGAGGGACGTTGACGAGGTGCTGACCTGACCATGTTTGTGGAGCGAATCATGCATGTATGCGTGTTTATCCATGCTCTCCCACAACCCCTTCCCAGGCCAACCCAACCGCATGGTGCTGCAGAAAGCGCCCGCAGATATCCGAAGAGATGTGGACGAGGTGCTGACCAGACCGTGGTTGTGGAGCGATCACTTGAAGGCCCATGTGCGGTATTGGTGTTTGTGTTTCTCCTGCACCTTCTCTTCTCCACCCCAATACCTTCCCAGGCCAACCGCATGGTGCTGGAAAAAGCGCCCCCAGATATCCGCAGGGACGTGGACGAGGTGCTGACCGTGTTTGTGGAGCGACCCTCTGAACGGCCATGAGCCATGCTTCCCACCCCAATACAACACAGGCCAACCGCATGGTGCTGGAAAAGGCTCCTCTGGATATCCGCAGGGACGTGGATGAGGTGCTGACCATGTTTGTGGAGCGATTCAGGGAGAAGCCGCAAGTGGAGGTGGCGGCTTACGTTGATCCCTCCGTGCCTCAGCTCGTGCTTGGGGACTCGCTCAGGCTCCGACAGGTGCGGTGCAGTGCGGTGGAGTGCAGTAATGTGGGATGGAATGCCGTATACATGCGGTGTAATGTGGTGCAATGCGGTGCAGTCAGTATGCTTGTCAAAGCATCCAGATTCACTGAACATGGAGTCGAGCTCAACTCAACTGCCATCCGCTCTTGCTCCCATCCCCACCAGGTGCTGATCAACGTGCTGTCGAACGCGTGCAAGTTCACGGAGCGAGGGCACATCCTGGTGTGTGTGCGCACGGCCCCCTTCACGGAGGACATTCGGCGAGTCATTGTGCTCAAAGGCGTTGCCAAGCGCTTTCCCACACCCACACCCACACCCCCTGCTGCTTCTGCTGCTGCTGCTGCTGCTGCTGCTGCTGACGCTGTTGCTGCTGGTACCAGCGCTGCTGCTGCTGCAGGGGCAAGGGCAGCAGGAACAGGCGGAGATGTGTCTGATTTGAGGTCGGCAGGGCAGGTAGTGCCTCTGCTCTCTCCCGGCCTCTCAACCAGCAGCCCTACATTCAAACCCAGCGTCTCACCCAGCGGGAACCCCCCGGCCAATCAGAGCGCGACAGGTGGCAGGGTGGCGGGGAGGGATGAGTGGTTGGGGTGTGCTGGGGGCAGTGGTGGGTGGCGGACGTCTATAGAGTGGTCTCCTGTGATGGTGGGGAGCAGTAGGGGGGGCGCGAGGGGCAGTGGATCGGATGGGGGGAAGAGGGTGCTGAGCCGGAGGGGCACTGGGAGCTCCGTGGAGATGGAGAAATTGGGGGAGGGGCATAGAGGGAGTCCCTCGCTGGGTGCTGCTGCTGCTGGTGGTGGTGCTGGTGGTGCGGCTGCGATGGCTGCTGCTTCTTCCTCAGCTTCTCTTCCTGCCTTGGCTCGTACCAATACCCCCACCTCTACTGCCCGCGCTGCCACTCCCACTGCATCATCACCAGCAGCAGCGCCAGCATCAGCAGCAACAGCAACAGCAGTGACAGGGTTGTACCCGTCAGTGGCAGCAAGCACGACGCTGAGTGGGCTGGAAGCGGTGGATTCGTGTAACAGCTGGGCCACCATCTCTGCCCTGCGCGCCCAAGCCAAAGCCGCCACCACCCACCACCGCGCTCGCCTCGCTCCCTCCGCTGCTGCTGCTGCTGCTGCTGCTGACCCTGCTGCCTCTGCTGCTGCTGGTACTGCCTCTGCCCCTACAGGTGCCAGTGCCGGTCCTGCTGCTGCTACCGGTCCTGGTGGCGCCGCCGCTGGTAACCGCACCGCGGCTGTGGTAACAGTCCTGCAGAAGTCCGTTCGACTGGTGATCTCAGTAGAGGACACAGGCATTGGGATACCCTACGGCGTGCAGCGGCACATCTTCAAGCCGTTCGTCCAGGCAGACGCCTCAAACACGCGCACGCACGGCGGCACGGGGATTGGTCTCGCCATTTCCCGCCAGCTCGTGAAGCTCATGGGCGGGCAGCTGACGTTCTCCAGCCGGCCGGGCGTGGGCACGACGTTCTATTTTGACATTGTGGTGCCGTGCGCCAGCGCGGCGGAGGAGGCGGATGCTGCTGCTGCTGCTCTCACTCCGAACGGCCGAGAGGGGATGGGGGGGTTTGCGGGTTACTGGGGGGCTGCTGGTGGTGCTGCCCTTGCTGCTGGTGCTGCCGGTTTGGGTGCGAATGGGGGGGTTGGAGGCAACGTCGGGCAATCTGCTGTTGAACTGCAGATGGGGTTTGACCGGAATGCGTCAGCCAAGGATTTGCAGGCTCTGGCTGATCTCGCTAGAGAATCGGAGGACTGGCACAAGCAGCTGCGGCCAGGGTGCCGCGACGGACAGTTTCGAAATGTTTCGGCGCGCGTGCTGGACGGGAATGGGGTGAGGAGAGAGATCGTGGAGAATTATTTGGAGCAGGTCGGCGCGAAGGTTGTGGGGGAGGGGGAAGGGGAGGTGGAGGGGGAGGAAAGTGGGGGTGAAGGAGGGAGGGAAGGGGAGGGGAGGGGGAGGAAGTGTAGAGTGCTTCTGGTGGAAGCTGATTGGCTGAGACGCCAGCAGCAGCGGCAGCAGCAAGATATAGCTTCAGGAAAAGGTGCGGCTGTAGCTGGTACCTTTTCAGCAAACAACAACAGCAGCGGCAGCAGCAGCAGCAGGAGCAGCAGCAGCGGTGGCAGTGGTGGTGGGGGAAGCAGCAGGGTGGGAGTGGGAGTGGGGGGTGGCATGACAATATCCCATGGTGTGTTTCACCGGGGCTCCCAGTGGGATGCGGCGATTCTGGTGACACAGGAGCGGGTGGAGGAGGGCGAGGCGAGGAGGCGAGGGTTTGATGCTGTGTTGGTGAAGCCTGTTAGGTACGCGGCTCTCATGGGGTGCCTGGCTCAGGTCATGGACCGGAGCGGTGCTGCTGCTAATGCTGCTGCTGCTGCTGCTAGTGCTGCTGCTGCTGCTGCTGCTGGCGAGGTGGAGAGAATGAGGTGTCCAGTTTCGATAGGCTAGACCAACCAGACTACAGGTTCAGGCAGGCGGGCGCAAGAAGCCCCAACACCAACAACATCACTAACACCAACACCCACACCAACATCCACATGAGCAGCAGCGGAAGCAGCAGCGGGGGCGAGAGCAAGGGCAGCGGGAGCAGCAGGGGCAGACTCACGGACACCCTGTCAGACGAAGCAGCAGATATTGTCTTTCCGACTGCCTTCCCCCCATCAGCATCTGCCTCCAGTGCTTCTATCCGCTCCCTCTCCGGCCTTTCGAAGGCCGGGATGGCTTCAACGAGGGGTTTGCAGTTGCCTGGCTCGGCCAGTGTTGGGGAAGAGGAGAGCGAGATTGTGCCTTTCAGTGGGTGCATGGGGCTCATGCGAGGCAACTCGGCACAGGTTCATCCTACAGGCAAGGATTTGCCGCGTGCTGACTCGGCACGTGCTGACTTGGCACGTGCTGACTTGGCACGTGCTGACTCAGCACAAGGTGATTCAGCGTGGTTGGACTCGGCACGTGTTTACTCAGCGCCGTTAGGTGCGGCCAGCTTAGCGGCAGCAGCAGCAGCAGCGGTGGCGGCGGCAGAAAGAGATGCAGCTGTTGCTGCTGCCACTGCTGCTGTTGCTGCTAGTGGTGGTGATGCAGCTTATGCTACCACTGCTGCTTCTCGTGCTCCTGCTCCTGCTGCTGCTCCTGCTGCTGCTGCTGCTCCTGCTCCTGCTGCTGCTCCTGCTGCTGCTGCTGCTGCTGCTGCTGCTGCTGTTTCAGTTGCCCCTGCTGCTGCTGCTGCTGCTGCTGCTGCTGTTTCAGTTGCCCGTGCTGCGGGCTCATTGAGGAGAGCCAAGAGCGGGCTGCCAGGCGTGGGTGGGGCGGACAGAGAGGAAGCAGACGCAGAGGGAGGGGTGCGGCTGATAAACCGGGGCAGCAGAACCACGTCTGCTTCCCGTGCTGCTCTCGCTGCTGCTGTGGGAGGGGGAGCAGTGAGTTATAAGCAGCAGCAGCAGCAGCAGCAGCAGCAGCAGCAGCAGCAGCAGCAGCAGCAGCAGCAGCAGCAGCAGCAGCAGCAGCAGCAGCAGCAAAAGCCCAAGTCAGCGAGTTTCCAGATGCTGCAGGAGGCGCTCCAGGGCATGTCACTGCTGGTGGTACGTTCAGTGTTGTGTTCCCCAACCCAACCCAACCCACTCGTTGAGGGGTTCATTCCAGCGCTTCTCTCTGTGCTGCGCTGCAGTGGTACAGACAGCACAGCACAGCACCGATGAGTGTCCTGAATCTTCTCCTGCATGTGCAACTTCCCCCGCCCCCAGGTGGACGACAACCTGGTGAACCGCAAGGTGATCGGCCGCATGCTGCAGCGGTACGGCGTGGGGGTGGAGATGGTGGATGGCGGCCGCAAGGCCATTGAGAGGCTCGTCACGGGCGGGTGGGACATCGACTGCATTCTCATGGACGTGCAGGTGGGTGTGTTGAGACGTGCTGATGTGTGATGAGACATGCAGGTGGGTCTCATGACATGTTAAAGTGTTGCGATGGTGAGACGTCTTAGCTTACGCCCTACTGTTGAGAGGCTTGTCACGGGCGGGCGGGACATCGACTGTGTTCTATGGACGTGCAGGTGGGTGTGATGAGACGTGCTGAGTTGTTGAGACGTTGAGGTCTTGAGCCGAACGAAGGGTTGAGAGGTCTTTGAGGGACTGTCACGGGTGGGTGGGACATAGACTGCATTCTCATGGACGTGCAGGTGGGTGTGATGAGACGTGCTGAGTTGTTGAGACGTTGAGGTCTTGAGCCGAACGAAGGGTTGAGAGGTCTTTGAGGGACTGTCACGGGTGGGTGGGACATAGACTGCATTCTCATGGACGTGCAGGTGGGTGTGATGAGACGTGCTGAGTTGTTGAGACGTTGAGGTCTTGAGCCGAACGAAGGGTTGAGAGGTCTTTGAGGGACTGTCACGGGTGGGTGGGACATAGACTGCATTCTCATGGACGTGCAGGTGGGTGTGATGAGAAGTCCATGTGTTGACCGATGGGATGTCTAAGTGTTGACCGATGGGATGTCTAAGTGTTGACCGATGGGATGTCTAAGTGTTGACCAATGGGATGTCTAAGTGTTGACCGATGGGATGTCTAAGTGTTGACCGATGGGATGTCTAAGTGTTGACCGATGGGATGTCTAAGTGTTGACCTCTTGATGATTGACACATCATATTGTTCGTCGTGCAAACTGTTTCGAGAGTTGTCCTAGGCGGTTGGAACATCGGCTGTATTCTCATAGGCATGTGTTGATCTGTTGAGATGTGTTGAGTGTGTGATGCTTTTCACTGTTGAGAGGGTTTAACTTTTGACGCATGCTAGCTCTTAAACTGTTCAACTGTTGAGACATTGTAACTCTTTTAAACCGTACCAACTGACGGGCGGTGTCTTGACCTTGCAGATGCCTGAGATGGATGGGTGCGAAGCAGCGGCTGCCATCAGGAAGCTTGAAGGGGAGAGGCGGATGGAGCGAGAGGAGAGGGCACAGAGGGCGGAAAGGGCAGAGAGGGAGGAGAGGGAAACATTGGAGGAAGCTGAGATTGGGAGGGCGGAGAGGGAGGGAGAGTGTGTGAGGGAGGCTGTGCCAGCTCCGATGGTGCAACTGAGGGCCGCCCTTCCCGTTTCAGCACGAGACACATCAGCAGCAGCACCCAACACAGGGTTACCAGGGTCATTAGCAGCAGCATCAGCAGCAGTGGCAGCAGCAGAGAGCATGGGAGGAGCTACGCCTAAGCTACCCACCCCGGCCAGAACTCCAACCGCTCTGCACCCCCTGAAATCCCCAATGCACGCCCAAATACCCTCTCGTTCGCCCTCGTTCCGAGGCCGCACCTCCGCCTCCCCTCTGCAGCTTCTCAGGAGCAATCGGCACCGGCGGCACATGAGCAGCGGGGATTTGGATGGGCACACGCACACCCCATCTCCTAAAGATGGGCACAGGCACACCCCATCTCCCAAGGATGGGCGCTTGGGAGTGAAGCTCAGCCCAGCCTTGCAGGCTCGGCAGGCTGCAGCGAATAGCAATCCAAACCTAAAGGCCGAGCCATCTGCAGCTGCACACAGCCCGGGCAGTGGAGTCAGGCCTAAAGCCGGGCAGGGGGAGGTGAGACCTGGGGCGGGTACTCCCAAAGGAGGGGTGTTGTCTAAGTGGGTGGAGTTGACCAGTCCCACGTGGGGTAGGCAGCAGGTTCTGGAGCAGCAGCCGCTGCTGGGAGAGGAGGGGAAGCAGGGAGGGGAGGGAGGGGTGAAGCGGGGGAGTCAGGTTCGGCAGGAGAACGAGCAACACCAGCAAAAGCAGAGTATGCAGGAGCGGCAGGCGCAGAAGCAGCAGCAGAGGCGAGTTCCAGAGATGGATAGGGTGCTGATATTTGCGTTGACTGCGGATATTGGTGCGGGAACAAGGGAGCGGTGTGCGCGGGTGGGCATGGATGGGTACATGACCAAGCCTGTCGAGGAGGAGCAGTTATGCCGAGTTATGCTGGGCCCTCTCAGGTTACGGAGGCAAATGAAAATGGGAGCAACATATGAGGGAGAATAGATGGCGGAGCTCACAGACTGGTAACAGTGGCATGCTGGTTGGGTAAATTTTGTACAAAATTTATTCATTGACTGTGGTTCGACTTGTCATTTTGTTTACTTGTGGATACATGCAGCTGACATGTTCTGTATAAAAGCTTCTCTGATTGGTCTAATGGGTTTAGAATGCTATGGAACAAGTGAAATAGGATTCCAACGTATAGGCGAAAGTTATGGTAATCATTCATGTGAAAGGATGGAATTTTGTGAGAGAATAGGTACCATGCAAGTACATGTAAAGCTGAGAGTTGGGCAGGGTCAAGCAAGGGCAAAGTGCGGACAGAGTTCACAAGTGACAAAGGAACGAAAATAGTCGTGGATAGATGAAGAGTGTTGCGGATGGTGCTGAGGATGGTTAAGACAATCCGTTTTATGCGTAGATAAAATTTACCGTATGTAACTATCGTTTCTGTTTGTTAGCGGGGCAATGCCTTCAGATGTTGTTGACCAGTTTCTTGCAATCGCCGAAGCGAATCTCAGCGGACCAGCGGACCAGTTTCGTCAGCATCCACGCTCATTACGCCAGTCGATACCTGACAGGTTGAAATGGCGCGTGTTTCCAAAATTTTAGGATGGGCCCCGCTCATAGCCAAGCTTGCCAGCAGGTGATCTCCTCAGTGCCTCTGAGTCGACGTGGCGTGACGTTTGTCTGTTTCCAGGTACTTTGTGCGTGCGCGTCATTCATCCCCAGGAGTGCGGGATGCTGGAATTTGGATTGCTCGGTGCGTGGGTGAGTGGATCGGGCTGCTTTAGTTGACCCAGCTCTGTGCTGGCAATCCCAGGAAATTCGCGTGAAGAGTCAATATGCTTGGTCAGACTCCACACCTGGAAACTATCCAACGTAATCTTTTGTCAGCTGACGTGCAATCTGAGGCCATCTCAACGCACGATGAGACTGGTGTGGTCCCCCCGCTGACGTGGTGACATCGCAACACGTGGTAACTATGTTGCTGGATGGTCCTTGGCCAAACAACCAATTCATCGCGATTCGTGGCGAGCGCTCTCGTCTGACTTGTACAGAGGCCCTGGCTTCGTGTGATGTCGCAAGGCCACAGCATCAACTCCCCGACCAGCCAACCCCCGCCTTCCCCCAATAGTTCCCCTCTCCTCCCCGCAACCTCGAAATTAGTTCTGGAGCGGTGCTGCGCGGTCCTCCGCAGGAACCTCTTGGTGCGGGCAGTCGCTCCGCGCGATGTGGTGGATTTGTGGATAAAGAGCCTGGCGAATGAGAGGAAGAGAAGCAATCAGTCTGGTTTGAGCGCGTTTCACAACCGCGAGGCACGGAGCAAGCGAAGACACCACCCACTGTTTGCGCCACAACACACCTTCTGAATCCACACCACCCCTTCACACCGTCCCTCATCCTTCTCTCCCTCCACTCCACCATCGTATCCTCCTCTTACAATCTCCTCCCCCTTCCCCCCTTCCTTGCCTCCTCTCCTTACCTCCGCCTTTCTGTGCCCGTCGCACCCCCTCTTGCATTCTGCCGCTGGCTGCAGTGCTGTAGGATAGCAATTTTGTGAGCGCTCCCCCACCTCCCGAGAGGAGCGCGGAGCAGAGCAAAGCAGCAACCAACCGAACCAACAGTAGAGTCGCCTTGTCGTGCCGTGCCATTAGAGGCTCATAAAGGGGTCAGGGAGTAAGTCCGTGCAGAGTGCGACGGCAGTAGCCCGGAAAAAAAACCTACCACCCACCATTGCAGCCACAGGTACATATAGAGACTAGAGGTGAAGTAGCACCAGTGGAGGCACGTAGGGACTGATCGAGTGTTGACTCCCACACGACTCGCCAGACCTCTCCTTTTCCTCCTATTTTTTTTCCGAGGCGCTAAGCTTGAGATTTCAGTGCGTGAATCCAAATTAATGCTCTCCTTAGGTTCAATAGTTAGCTGATAACGCACCGTCATCCTTTATCTTCCACTGAAGTGAGTCAAGAGCATGGCGTTCGCCACGTTGTCCACTTGGGATGTCCACCAAAGCGCGTCTTTTCCATTCGCCATGAGCCGCTGCTCGCATATTCCTTCAGCCGAGCCTCCATCCGAACCCACTTACGCGTCACTGAAGCTCCATCCGCTCCTCTCTCCGTCGCAAGAGCATGTCGTCCGTGAATTCTCAGCCCTCTCCATGCAATTTCACGAGCAGCAGCACCAGCAGCAGCAGCATCTGCACTGCCACCGTCATACTGCAAGCGAGCCGCAGCCACAGCAGCAGAAAGAGCGAGAGGCCCCGCACCCTCTTCCCTCCCTAAAGCATGACGCTTTCCAAAGAGTCCCATGTGTGGAAAGCGAGCATTTTGTGGCTCGTCTTAACGTAGGCGACTCGGCTAATGTGGCTAACGAAGCAATTCTCGAGGCACCTCAAAGCTCGGCTGAGCAGGTTAAGGAGGCGTCGCCTGCAGTATCTCCCGCGTCGCCTGGCGTCGAACCGTTGGAACCTCTGGGCAACGGTAACGTCCCATTTGACTTGGCGAGGATTTCCCCACACTTGTCAGACTCCTCCCTTCCCATCGGCGATAGCTTCCCCGGAAGCGGGGGAAGCGCGCCTGTTTTCAGCAGCGGCATGCTTCCTTGGCTTCGGAATCCTAGCGAATTGGACCTGAACCTTCCTTCGTCACCGCCGGGCGACTCCGCAGCTACTCCGGCTCTTGTGCCGTCTTCTGCGGCCTTCCCCTCGTCGTTCCAAGTGCTCAATTCCAGCTTCTGGGAGTCTAGCGCGAATTGCGGCGCAAATGGTGGAGCCGCATCACCTCCTGTTTCCGAAAATTCGTCGGAGTCGTCGCTGGTGGCGTGTGGCAGTGAGAGCAGCAGCACGGACATGGATGACGAAGAAGATAATAACGAGGATGAGGATGGCGGCAGTGATGGAGAGGCGGACTCGGGAATAAAGCCGCTGTGCTTGAAGAAGAAAGTGTCAGCCATGACCTCTCTTCCCTCACAGTAAGCCCGTGTTTATGCTATTCTGACGAAAAAATATTTGCTCTCGACTTGTGCTGCTTGAAATTCTCATTTCTCACTTGCCGAGTGATATCGCGGTTTTTTATTCAAGCACCTAATCAGCAAGTTCGTCTCTCCTCCTCCTTGCTAACCTGCAGGCGAAGCCTTTCGTCTCACTTTGGAGGGAAATCCCGCACCTTCTCGTCGCTTGCTGACGTGTCAGCTATCCAGACCATTCACGGCCTCGCAAAGCCGCCTCCAGGCCTCTGCCTCCGCCGAATGCGCCGCCGTTCGCGGCTCTCCTCCGCATCTGCACTCCGCCACGGCCCCTGCGCCATCCCCATCGCTGCTGCGCACCGCAGCATAGGCAAGCACCGCCCGGGTGCTGGCGCTGGGGCTGGCGCTGGCATTCGTGGAAGCAGTTTTGGACGGTTGGCGGCTCAGCAGGTTCAGTTCTCGCTGGCGCTGGCTGTGTCCATGGGAAGCGTGGGTTGAAAGGTGACGCGGATAGGTTGAGAGATTGGGCATGAAGCAGCTTCAGGGAGAGAATTGTGCAGAATGGCAGCAACATGGAGCAGTTTTGAATGCACCACCATGGGTTCGTTGGGCTTCCCAAGATGGAACGCAAGTCCTGTGGATGATAACCCAAGATTTCATGGCACTGAGTGATTGCTGCTGTCTGGTTCTCTGCGCTAGACTTTGGAAGCTCCAGAACAAGACTGTGGATCAGGTGTCTGTCACGTCAGCTGCGATACTTCGCCGACCCCTTGCACAGGAGCTGGAGCATCTATTCTACTCTCAGCTATTCCTGCAAAGGAGAATTGAGTCATGGCATTGTGAACATACGTGGAAGTCTCTGCTGAGCGTTGCCTGGAAGCGGCCTATGTTCTGGCATGGAAGCTGATGGTGGAATCTCATCTGGAGCCATGATTTTGCCAATAACAAGAATCAACAGCGGGCTTTCGTGTGCATTTTTGGTAGATCTGGTGCATCAAGATAGGCCAGGACAGGTTGGCAAATTTTGGAGCAAATTTTGTGTCCCTTGCTGGTATTGCCAACCCCTCTGCTGCTGCCCATGCTGAGTGTTATGCCTTTGCGGTAGCTTCTGCCTGCTGCTGGGTGTGCGTTTGACCAATAAGTGGTGGGTGGCCTTTTTTTGGTACACCCTGATTTTGTAGATTCCATATGTTTTTGTTGGGAGATACGCAACTGCCTCTCAGATTGGAAAAGGAGGTTGATTTCACAATCAATCAAGCAACCAAACTGATGTAGTCACACTAGATTGTTACATGATTTTAGACACACAACAGCAGAACAGTGAAATCCCCTTATACGGCATATTGCTTTTCGAGGGACTTGAGGCCCCTCCCTCCTCCTCCTTGCGTCCGGCCATCGAGCATTTTGAGACTCTCCACTTGGACGTCTGGGGCCCCGCCTCTCGCCTTGGCCCTGAGCGTGAGCGTTTCTTTCTGGTGGTCATTGACGACTACTCCCGCTACACCACAGTGTTCCCCCTGGCGAAGAAGTCTGAGGTGACTTTTACGATGATCAGGTGGTTGCTTACCACTGCGGACACTCGTGGTCGTTGTGTCAACTATCTTCACTCCGACCGCGGGGGTGAGTTTTGCTCCGGCGTTCTCGCTGGATTCTGTCGCGAGCAGGGCATTCGTCAGTCATGGGCGCTTCCAGAGTCCCCACAGTAGAATGGGGTTGTTGAGCGCCGCATAGGCTTGGTCATGGAGATCGCCCGCACCTCCTTGACTCACGCCCGTGCCCCCCATTTTCTGTGGCCCTACGCGGTTAGGTACGCCGCTCACCAGCTGAACCTCTGGCCACGTGTCTCTCGGCCAGAGGCTTCACCGACCAGTCTTTGGACCGGGTCCCCTGGTGTTGCGTCGCGGTTTCGTGTCTGGGGTTGCTTGGCTCTTGTCCGCGACACTTCCGCGACAAGCTCTCGCCTCGCGCCGTTCCCTGTGTCTTCCTTGGTTTCCCTGAGGACTCCTCTGACTTCACCTTTTACCACCCTCCCTCTCACCGGTTCTTTGACTCCCGTGACGTTCGTTTTGAGGAGTCCACCCCGTACTACGTCAGGTACCTGTCAAACATATATGCTGCTTATTGTGTAGGCTGTAGTGGGGTAGCCCATATGGGGTACAACCCAGATTAGGGTTTCCTACTTGTACCCATCATGCTGCTAGTTCATTCATTCCTGCCTAGACTTTCAGACATGGTATCAGAGCAGTAGGTCCGTAGGACCGTTTTTTTTTTTTTTTTTCGGGCCCACCTACCGTTGCGGTTACTGAGCTACCCCACGTGCTTGCGCTGCGCCGCCTCCCGCGCGCCTTGCCGTGCTTGCGCTGCGCTGCCCGCGCGCGTCTTGCCTTGCCTGCGCTGCGCTGCCCGCGCGCGCCTTGCCTTGCCTGCACCTTGCCTTGCCTTGCCTGCGCCGCGCCTTGCCTTGCCTGCGCCTTGCCTTGCCTTGCCTGCGCTGCGCCGCCCGCGCGCACGCCCTGCCCTGCCCCGCGTTGCGCTGCCCCGCGCACGCCGTGCCCTGCCCCGCGTTGCGCTGCCCCGCGCACGCTCTGCTCTGCCTGGCGTCGCGCGCCCCTGCAGCCCGTAGCGTCGCCCGTCTGCCCTGCCTCTGCCCGTCGTGCCGCCCGTACGGGCTGTCCCAGCCCGTCGCGTCGCCCGTCCGCCCTGCCTGCCTGTCGCGTCGCCCGTACGGGCTGTCCCAGCCCGTCGCGTCGCCCGTCCGCCCTGCCTGCCTGTCGCGTCGCCCGTACGGGCTGTCCCAGCCCGTCGCGTCGCCCGTACAAGCTGCCTGCCCGTCGCGTCGCCTGTACGGGCTGTCCCAGCCCGTCGCGTCGCCCGTACGGGCTGCCTGCCCGTCGCGTCGCCCGTCCGCCTTGCAGCCCGCGCGTCGCGCCTCTGCTGCCCCGCGCGTCGCGCCCTACGGCAGCCCGCGCGCCGCGCTCTGCAGCCCCGCGCGTCGCGCTCTGCTGCAGCCCGCGCGTCGCGCCCTGCTGCCCTGCACGAAGCGCGCCCTGCTGCTCGCGCCGCCCAGGCCGAGCCGAGCCGCCCTACCCTATCAAGATAGTAAGAACAGTGAGAAGCCATAGCTAGGGTTGACCTAGCTAGGCAAGCAAGAAATGAACAAAGGAGGGGTTGCACTAGTAAGAATGGGGATACAAATAGCAAACCCTAGAAGGGTTGTACTCGCTATAGAGCACCCCACTACAGGCTAGAGCATAATATTCTGACACACCCCCATAGCCAAAGTGGGGTGTAATCAGCAGAGCAAGCAAAGCAGTACAAGCTCAGGGTGGATCACAATGTCACCACACATTCTGAGCACAAGTTCAAGAAGCAATAGTTTAAAGTTCACAATTATGAGCAAAGCTAGTGGTAGTCACAACGGGCAAGTGAGGAGGAGGAAAGAGACTATGAGAGGAGAGGAGGTAGTGGGCGGCAGCTGAAGCTGCTGGCACACGGCGCAACTGGAGCAACTGGCACACGGGCAACTGGAGCAACTGGCACACTGGCAACTGGAGCAACTGGCACACGGGCTACTGGAGTAACTGGCTCCGCGGCTGAAAGTAGCGGCAGACGAGCAACGGACTCACGGGCGACTGGAGCAACGGGCTCACGGGCGACTGGCGCAACGGGCTCACGGGCGACTGGCGCAACGGTCTCACGGGCGACTGGAGCTGCTGGCTTCACGGCGGCCACCCCCTTCAACCTCCCCAAACTATCCCACTCCCCCTGACACACACCCGCTGCTACACCGCTAGCTCCACTCCCCCTTCACCCCCCCTTAGTACCACTCCGACGGCTCCAACAGGTCCACCCCCCTCAGCGGCAGCTGCAGCACAGGGAGACGGAGGAGGAGGAGGAGCAGGGAACGGCACACAGAAGCTGCACCCCCATACCCCCCACCCCCAAACCCTAATCCAGGAGTACGGGCAGAAGGAGGGGTGGGGCGCCTTCAGAAGCACGGGGGACAGCGGGGAGGACAGGGGCAGCGAAGAACGGGCCGCCCACGGGTCTGGCACAGCCTCCCGAACCGCGCGCAGGCGGCCCGAGCCGCGCGCGGGCCTGGCGCAGCCCGTACGGGCCGCGCGCGGGCCTGGCGCAGCCCGTACGGGCCGCGCGCCGGCTGTACGGGCCGCGCGCAGGCCACGACGGGCGACGGGGGGCGACGCGCGGGTCCCCGTCGCCCGTCGCAGCGCCTCCCGGGAGCAACGCGCGGTGTGACGGGGCAGAAACCCGCCGCGTACCACGAGGCGCGCGGCGGACAGGGAGTAGCAGTAGCAGCGGAAGCAGTGAAGTGGTGGGCCCACAGGACAGGAGCGTAACCGCTCTGATACCATGTCAAGATAGTAAGAACAGTGAGAAGCCATAGCTAGGGTTGACCTAGCTAGGCAAGCAAGAAATGAACAAAGGAGGGGTTGCACTAGTAAGAATGGGGATACAAATAGCAAACCCTAGAAGGGTTGTACTCGCTATAGAGCACCCCACTACAGGCTAGAGCATAATATTCTGACATACCCGACCCGATCCGCCCTCCTGCTCGTGCTACTACTGCTGCTGGTGGAGGTGCTGCTAGGAGTGCTGGAGGTGCTGCAGCCTAGCCTCACCGGGCCGCTCTACTGCTCTTACTGCTGTTGCTGCTGCTCGTGCTGCTGTCTTCCCTCCGTACCGCCCTCCTCCTCGCACGCCTCCTTGCTTACCCGCTATGACTTCCCTTCGTAGTAGCGGTGGGAGTGGTGGCGGCGGCGGTGGCGGCAGTGGGAGTGGTGGCGGCGACCATAGTTGCAGTCGCGGTGGAGCTGTTCAGTGCGGAGTTTCTGGCGGTGGCGAGATCCAGCTGCAGCGGCGTCCGAGCGAGACCCTTCCACCCCAGCAGCTTCATGCGTGGTACGCTCAGCGTTGTGCGTCTCGGAGAGGTGGCGGCGGCTGTAATAGCAGTCGTGGTGGAGCTGGTCAGTGCGGAGTCTCTGGCGGTGG